AGCCACTGGGTCCAGGGCTTGAGCCGGGATCGACTACATGGGAGTTCAGCAACATAGCCATTATGCTAACTGCTGGTCCATCAAATGTATTTTTTAAAAGAATTATTTATTCACCTAATTTTATTTGTTATTATTTTTTAATTTGACCAGAGACAGAGGGAGAGAAAGGGAAAGTGAGAAAGCAAGCTGCCAGGTCTAGGACTTGAACTATGGTCAGCCATGTGGGAGTTGAGTGTCTTAACCACCATGCCACCTGCTGGCCTCCAAATGTATTATTTTTTAAAAAAGTATTATATTAATAGCCTACTATCCAGATTTTAGTACATCAACTCACAGGAATAATATTTATTCAGGCAGACCTCTCTATTTTTAGTCCTTTATAGTTTTTAACCATGAAAAAACAGGAAATTAATGCCCGGTAACCATTCTTAGCTTCAACAAATCAAATATAAAAAAAAAATTATATTTACCATCATTTAAAATAATATAAATGGTAAAAAAAAAAAAGTCTCACATTCTTATTATGTGGTTAAGGATTTTATTTTATTTATATTATTTTATTGCCAGAGGGCATGGGTGCTTGTCATAGAGAAAGAGAGAGAGAGGGGGAGAGGGAAAAGACAAACAGAGCTGGCCTTAAGGCCTGTTGGTTAAGGGAGCTGGATCCTACATGGCTGACAGTGAGGTTTGAAACCCAGTTCTGGTGGTTTGAAAAACACATGTATCTTTCCTCTTTCCCAGCTGGAACCATGGAGGGCATTCAAGAGAAGAAAAAGAAGGTTCCTGCTGTGGCAGAAACCAAGAAAAAGGCTCCTGCTGCCACGGAAGCCACCAAGAAAAAGGTTCCTGCTGTGCCAGAAACCCTTAAGAAAAAGTGAAGGAATTTTGTGGAGTTGAAGATCAAGCGCCTGAGAAAGAAGTTTGCTCAAAAGATGCTTTGAAAGGCAAGGAGGAAGCTTATCTATGAAAAAGCTAAGCCCTATCATAAGGAATATAGACAGATGTACAGAACTGAGATTCGCATGGCCAGATGGCAAGAAAAGCTGGCAACTTCTATGTACCTGCAGAACCCAAATTGGCATTTGTCATCAGGATCAGAGGTATCAATGAGTGAGCCCAAAGGTTCGAAAGGTGCTGCAGCTTCTTCGTCTTCGCCAGATCTTCAATGGCACCTTTGTTAAA